GCAAAAGCGCGTCGCCCCTCATTGCAGTTCGGTTTGAACTCAGTGCTCCCCAAGTGTACATCCTGACCGTTGCTTGCCAGGAACAAGTTCCAAGCTTCTGCAACCTGCGCAGAAATCATGGGGCCCCTCCAGGTCGGGGCGTGGCTGGCCATCGCCAGAATGTGATCCCTGCACACTGCGCGTTCCCCTTGTATCCCAGACTACAACTAGAACACACGCATCTCTTGCCCATGAACTGTCTGAACACCCACAACTCCATGAGAATACGCATCAGTTGTTCAAGCCTGCCAGGGTCTTTCTCAAATCACTGTGAACAGTTGCCTTGGAAGTTAACTCCAACAGCTTGCCACTCATCGCTTGCAGCATCCCCTTGGAAGCACACCGCGTCCTTGTAAGTCTTCTTGGCCTTGAGCACTGCAAGCACGTCTGCAACAATGACACGTTCCTTTTCGAGGGTCTTCTTGTTCTGCTTCGCTGAATTGACCTGGGTCTTCGAACCCATGATCATCTTGTTTTCACATTTGACTTGCGCTGCTAGATTCATCGCGCGCTCTCCCAGGACGACATCTTGCTACCCTGCGTGAAGCACAGCCTGAAGCAACCCCCTCTTCAAAACCGTTTTGAACATACCACCACCTCTCCAATACAGGAACCAGCTGTGCAACCACTGCCTTCTCCCGCTCAGGCTGAACTGGCCACCCGTGATCTGACTGTCATGTAACCCTTGTAATGGACGCCTGTTTGCTTGTGGAGCTTCAACGTTCAATTGCCTCATATCATCTGACAGGCCATTGACCCACACTTGTGGATCAATGCAGCACGCATGATCCTCCACTCAATCTGTTGTTTTGTGTGTATTTTTTAGGGCTCCTCATCATGAGACCTCATGCCGCACAATGTGTCTCCTGATCTCATTCAGCAGGGTGCAGCCCTTGTCAGCGCACATGGGGTCCAAGTCCTTTCTACCAAGCACACAACCAGTTGCAACTCAATGGGGCTAACTGCTTGGTTGGTTTGCCCTCATGCTGCAAGTACTGCGTCCAGAGTGAAAATGAATGTCCAATGCACAAGCCAGAGCGCTGCAACTGCAATATCAGTCACGCTTTTCTCCAATTTGGATTAGCGCGCATCATCTCCAATCTGAATGGCTCGCTTCTCGCCCATCGGCTTCACCTTCAGCTTTTGCTGAAGCCACCACGACGCACCCTTCCATGGTTTCTCTTCTCCTCCTTCGATCAACTCGCTGATTCTCCTCCGGCTCTGGCTGCTGCTCTTCCACAGAACAGCCTGCTTGTCCTCCCACTCGTGGGGCTTCTGCTCACCCCACTGATAAGCATGCTTGCCCTCCCACCTGGCTTCCAGTCCCACTTACAAGGCTTCTGCTCCTCCCATGAATAGGCGTGCTGCTGTAGGCACACTTGCCGTGTCCTCCCGCTTGGGTTTTGCGTCCTGTCTCCTCCATCTCCTCCTCCTCCTCCTCCTCCTCCTCCTCCTCCTCCTCCTAAAGCTCTGCAATCTGCCTTTCAAGGTGGCGGGACTCAACCTTTTTGGGGATTGCTCCAAACATCCCAGCTCCATTGCTCTGTTGAACCTGATCCACTTGCCAAAGCCCAAGGCTGCAGACACTGCCGCGCCGGGCCTCTCAGCTCCATTCAGAGCTTCCAAATGGTACGCCGGGCAACGCAAACAGGCACAGCCAGTTTTGCGTATTTCAGAGTCAAGCCCGCATATTTTGCATTTGCGCAGGTCCAGCACGCTCGCTCTTTGCCTTTGGGTTCCACACCTCTTCCTTCTCCGCTGGAGCGGCCTGCTGCTTCTTTTTGTTCCAAATGCCCTCCTTTCTTGCTCTTTGCTGGAACCGCCTGCTGCTGCTGCTGCTCTCCTCGCTTGTTCCAGGCTGGAATGATCCAGGCTCAGGCTAGAATCATAGTCACCTTCGTGCCGCCACTGCCTGAACCAGGAACGCCTTCCGCAAGACTTGCAGGAGCACATAAAAAGGAGGAGGTGGCTTTCCCGGCGGCTTTACCTGCTGGCCTAAAGCATTTGTTTCCCCATTTGTTGCCTACGAGGTTGCAGAAGAAGCCTCATGCTTGCACCAGGTCCCCATCATGTTCAAGCTTGTGGCCCATGATCAAGCAATCAAGCATGTGCTGCACCGAGGCCAAGAAGCAAGGACAACCACATGCATTTTTAGAGGCTTGGGCATTCATGCTTGCAGTGTTCTGTTGATGTTTGCATCAGGCACGCAGGTAGTCTTGTAGTGTTCTGCCAACGCTTGCAATCGTTCGTTGGTTGCCATTCTGGCTCAATGAAGTGCCTTTGTAGCAGTTGCTTGTTTGCACGCGCGCCCCTGCTTCTGTAAGACCAGCACCAGCCTCCTCATATGGTCTGGCATTTTTGCTCGACGTGCATTGGGCTTTCTGCTGGAACACATATTTGCAACCTTGGGCAAGCAACTGCGCAAAATCGGACCTCCGCAAGCCACCCTAGGGGTTGCAAGGAGGAGCTCTTTCTTGGACCAGGATCTCACGCCGCGAGCTCTTCGCTGTCCAATGGGAGCTGCTTGGGCACCCCTTCAGGCAACACCGGCCTGAAGCCTTGCACCAAGTCCTTTGCACCTTCTCATCCTTCCGGGCCAAATGCTATATCAGAATTTGCATGCCGCAGTGCCACGAAAAAACACATGTAAAAAAAGCAATGCTTTTTGAGTAAACGCATCTGAAAAAGACAGATTTTTACAAATGTTGCACATACTAATTGAGGATAATACTGCATTATTTACAGCCGAATTCAAAATACAGCTTAATTAAAGAACAAGTTAATTAAGCACAAACTCTTCTTATTTAGCACCGTTTTGTAAAACTTAAGATTGAATTCCTGAATTGGGCACTATTGGGCTCTCTGGGTAGCTGCTTCCGCTCGCGAACGCCAAGGCGTCATCATCAGCATCCCGCCGTCTAGCGTCTGCTGTGCGCCATTTCACACAGAGTGTTGACTCGCGATTCCATCTGCGCAGCTCAAGAATTCTTTGTGAAGTTTCTGAATTTCCGCTTATCGTCCATGGTGAAAAGATTTCACAAGCTTTTTTCGGTGGAATTGACTCTGACCGCTTCTTGTTTCAGCTGGAATCTCCCAAGTCTGGGTCTGGTGAGGGCGAGAATAACCTTCACTTGAGCTTGCTACAAAATTGCTGTTGTGGCCCTTGCCGCCCGTGTCGAACTCCGCCGCCTGCCCTGGCAAAAACATGCAACCTAGCCGGGAAACTGAGGGTCCCTTGTGTCAACATTCCAGTGAAACATGGCTTTGTGTTGTGTTTTGTGAAGCAGGGTCATGGTTTTTCCATTTCATCATGGCGCCTATGAGTGCCCATCTTGTCTCGGATTTATTCGCGGCTTTTAATCGAACACTTGTGCAATTGTTAGATATAGCACTTGCGCGTTTGTCATGTGGACGACATGTTTCAGGCTAGATAGCCCGCGACACTACTGGCACATGGAGAAACGAGCGCTTTGCAATTTTCATGCCACATCAATCCCTGTATGTTTCAAGCCTTGCCATTCATCCTTGCAGGACACAGCATCTGTACCGAAGCGCTTGCGTTGGACCTGCCACGAAACCAACTTGGTATTTTCCAGCTTGGAGACATCAAGGTTGCGCGAAGGCTGAAACCCTCATTTTTTCAGACATTCTCAACACCCAAGCACTTCGTGCACAGGTCTACAGTGATCTGCGGGACGTGGCGCCGCTTTTCTACAACTACCATTTTCAGATGGTATCGGCGATCAGCCAAGACCACACGCAAAACGGTTGTGCGGATCCAGGGCGTCGACCCGAAGACTCTCCGGATTCAATGCACCATTTTCACGCTGATGATGGCGCTTGAGCCTCGCAGGGAAGAGACAGCGCTCAGCGCAGATAGCAAGATGGCTCATCTGTTAACTGGACGAGTGGTGACAGTTCATGAGCCGATCAGCATGATTCGGCTCACACTTTTGCTTGCGCAGGTTGCAATTCCGGCGCCCATCGATTGCAGCCTTTGGGGCCGTTCTACACCCTTCGTTTTGCTGCTTTGTTGTCGTTTTGTTTTCTACGCTTGCGTTACATGTCCTGCTGACAGCCTTGCGCCAACAGGCATGCGGATTGGTTTGGTCTGCCAATGGCAACCGATCGGTCTGCCCTGAGCCTCGGACTTGGAATGTGCAGAGCCCATCGTCCGTGCTAACTCTGTTTCCCCGTCCATGATTGGTTGTACTAATCTTTGAACTATTGCCCCCCCTCCTGCTCAATTCCCGCCCTCCTCAGAAAGCTGGATGGCCAAAAGGGCTGCGCAAGCAGGAAACTTCCAGAAGGGCCGCATAGGCGGAGCAACTTGCACTTAAAAGTTGCAACTTTCCAGCCGGAGCTGCGGGAGTGTGCTTCGCGTACAATGTTGCGACTTTCGAGCCGGAGTTGCCGCAATTCACTTTGAGCACTACTTTCGTACATAAAAGTTGCGGCTTTTGAGCCAGAGCACCCGCCTTGCACTTTCAGTTTTACTTTCGCACTTACAAGTTGCGACCAGATCTCCGGGATTGTTCCTTGAGTTTACGTTCGTGCTTGAAAGTTGCGACTTTTGAGCCCTACCTACAGCACAGGGTGCCCCATCGCGCAAGACTCGGCTCCCAGAGAATAACTGCAACTGACTGACCTTCGAGAAAAACGGGATCCGCTTCTGGCTGACAAGGTGGGAAACTATTCCTTTGGATGGCGGCGTAGATGTGAGTCCTGGCATGGTCCAATTTCCCCTAGCGGGCCCGCAGCAACTACAAAGAACTTGAGCATTAACCTCTGAAATCTCTGAACCTGGCCAACACTACACATTAACGAAGGGAACGAGGGTCCCTTTCGGGGGTTGGGAAAAACCAAAGACAAGCAACAAAGTCCGACGCCCCCCCTCCCCCCATTTCGACACATACCCATGTACCTTCATATAGGCAAAGTCTTCCCACACTGGCGCCCGCCTCTTCCAGTAGGACGTCTTCCCCAGACTCCTCCTCCCGGTGCACTGAAATCCTAGTCGCGCTTCGAGCCTTTGCTGCCATCCAAATGTTGCAGGGAAATCCGAAATAGAGCGGAGGTTCACCCTGCCTTAGGATTTTAGCGTGGGGCTCAATATCAATGTGCAGCTGCGACTCCCCGACAAGCGCTGCGCGCTTGGCCGACACCGATCGCATTGCGAAGAATGGCCAGGACCTCCTTTTCCAACATCCCAACATTTGTTGGCTCGTTCTTCCTGATTCATAGACTGGGCGCCCCAGGCCTGCACTCCCTCTCCACCTCCCAGTGATCCATCTTGGAGAGGTCCTGCGACCGGCTGATCTATGCATTTTGTGTTAGTCAGAGAAAGCAAAGGCCTGACAAAAAGGAGATCCCGTTGACAAACCCTCAAGGCTCGGACAGGACAGGTTGAACTTCATACTCTGGCTTGGTCCAAACAGTTGGCCAGTCCTCACCTATATCCGCCGATCGTTGTTTCATCATCGCCGTCTTGTTTCATAGGCTTGTGACGTGACATTAACGCATGGCGCTTGCTTGGTAAAGTAGAGCGTGCACTTTGTTCTTGTTCGGATTCCCTGGCATTGCTTAAGTGGACCAGAATAGTGTCCACTTTTCTTCTCGCAAAATCGTGAAAATATTACAAAACCACCTAGACAACGCGTTCACGTGGTTCTTGTTCTTGTTTCCTGGCATTGTTTAAGTGGACCAGAAAAGCGTCCGCTTTTTTCTCTGGTGAAAAATCGTGAACACAATACAAAGCAGCTTAATCATAAAACTGAAAGCAGCCAAAACAATCACTCGGAAAACAAGTTTGGGCCATGCCAATTCTGCTTGCACTTCAAAAAATGGCCCCCAAATCTGGCTCTTGAAGGCCCTACCAAAATCAGCCACGACTGCTGCCCTAAGTCAGCTGCTGTAATCCCCCATTGAAATCAGATACAAATCTGGCGTCATTGTCTAAGTGGACTGGAACCTTTGCTTGAAGTAGTATTCCAAAAGCCCGCCTAGGAAGAAGTTGTTGCAAGACTCAAATTTTCTGCCCAGCGAAAAGCGGTTAGTTGAAAGACTAAAGTAGTATTGCAAAGAAAGCGGAGCAAGAAGTGGTTGCAAGAATAGAGGAGTAGTCCCAAAGGTCTGCTCAGCAAGAAGTGGTTGCAAAAGGATTGAGGTAGTATTCCAAACCCTCTGCTCAGCAAGACGCGGTTGCTGGTCTAAAGCAGTGATCGAAAAAGACTGCTCGGCAAGAAGTGGTTGCAGGACAAAAAGCAAGAAACCTGCTCAGCAAGATGGCTGCAGGACTTCCGTAGTATCCAAAACACTGCTCAGGTAGACTAAAGTAGTGTTCCAAAAATCTGCTCAGGAAGAAGTGGACTGAAGTGGCATTGGGCCCTCCATCATTTGGGTGTCCCAAGTTTTTGGCCCGCAAATTTGGCGCCTCCATTGAGGGCCTTTAATACTCAAGCGCCAACACAAGTCCTCACTGGAGAGCTGGGATGCGCAATCATCACCGTTGTTGCTATTGCTTTCTATAACTGATTTCAATTGCTACGTTCGGCCTCGCCAGCATTGCTGGGATGCGTAACGAGTCGTCGGATCCTGTTGGCGATGCTGGGGATGCAAAACCGTGATCGTCATCATCATCCGCAACTTGATCATCGTTAACACCATCATCGCCGGACCCCGCTGGCGACGCTAGGGATGCGAAGTCATCATCATCATCATCAGCAGCGGCACCGCGGTCATCGTCGCCATCATAACCATCATCATCACCGTTCGCATAGTCGCGTCTTCGTGTATTGCGAATGTCACGTTAGGCAGCACAGGTGATGATGGGGATGCGTGACCATAATCATAACCATCATCGCCAGCATCATCGGTATCCCTCTGGTGATGCAGGGGATGCGAAATCATCACCGCCAGCTGCAGCATCCGAACACCGACTATAATTTTCTTGCGCAGGGTTCAAGATTGGTTGACGTTGAAAGGGGGGGAAAAATTAAATTTTAGCAGTGAAGTGGTGGTTTCCCACTAAGCCACAATAAGCAAAATGTGATATGTTTCCCAACAGCAGCCGAGCAAGTGTCACGGTCGGCGGACGCGTGCGTCTTCATCATCATCGTCAGACCCTGCTGGCGATGCGTCATCCAGGTGACGATCACCATCCTCATTGTTATCATTCGCCTGCGTCCTTACGCTCTACAAAAAATAGCATTGCGCCATCTACCTTGGCTCCAATAAGGGCTTTGCACTCCGGGCGTGGGGCCAGATAATGGGGGGTCAAACGGGATGCAGAATAGATGCATTTTTTATGGCACAATTCAGTGCGCCCGCTCACTCACTCACTTGCTCGCTGGCTCACGCACACACCCACTCCCCTGGGCTACCTCAACTCTGCTGCCTGGAGGCAAGGCTGAATCCCGGCCTCGAAGATGCCCTCTACTTGCCTCCGACGGAGGCTGCCTTGAGGCTCTGCCCGGCACTGCCTCTCACATTGCCCACGGGTTGCACCTTCCAGGAGGCTCCGATTTGCGAGTTACTTAGGCCGTATGAGCTAAGGATGTTTTTTGTGTCGTGAGGACAAGATAACTCAGAGTGTGCAATTTCACGGGTTTTCACGGCTTTTTCAAGGAGTAGTAACGGCCTTTCAGTTTCCCGCGCGAGTTATCACGGCCGTTCGGCCGAGTTTTCATGGCTTTACGGGGGCCAACAAGCGCAAGTGGCCGAAGACATCTTAGCTCAAAAAGCCAAGGTGGCTTGGGACTTAGAGCCTCCTGGTTTGCCAGGGAGGAACTTCTTTGTCACCCGCTACAAAGGTCAGCGGCGAGTGAGACAGTGAGTGGGTGAGCGAGTGAGTGGGTGAGTGCACGAGTGACCAGGCAACTAGGGGGCTGATTTTGAGGGGTCGCCTTCCAAGGCAACAAGGCAAGACTCTATCTTTTGAAGCCTGTGTGTGACCGTCGCAGGTCCACATGAAGTTGCGCCATCTACTCTTCTTCGGTTTTGAAGCTAACAGGCAGCGAGCCAGGCAAGCAAGGGCCGAAGTTTTCCTTCAACATTTCCAGTCAGGCAGTCGAGGGCTGATTTTGAGGCTTTCCTCTCCAAGCCGGGGCTCTGTCTTTCGAAAGCCGGGGTGGACCGTCGCAGGCGCGCATAGAATTGCGCCATTTGCTTTTCTTCATTTGTGCTCATCTCAAGGGAAGGAAGCCGGGTCCATGAACTTGTTGCAGAAACGGCACAAGCCCATAATCTTCCCAGCTCTCAGAGGACAAGCTGCTTGCGGTTCTCAAGCAATGTGTAACACCGGCCAGAGTGGAGTTCGCTTCAGCATGCCTTACTGTCCAGTTCTATTCAGTTCTATTCGCTTCAATAGTCAGAAAGCGTAACCGACACTTGCAAGCCGCAGTTTTCCCTCCCCTCCCTCCCCCCACTCCGCTCCACTCCCGCTCCACTCCACTCCACTCCACTCCCACCCCACTCCCACTCCCACTGCCACCCCCACTCCCACTCCCACTCCCACTCCACTCCCACCCCACCACTCCCAAAATCAGAACCAATTCGCCGGATAACTGATGATATGTGCCGACAGAGCGGTGGACTTTTTTGGCTGTCGTGCCATCTGCGCCCGAATTGCGCCATCTACCTGCCGGGTGTAAGGAATTCAAATGTCCCGGTCGGCGCTGGATGCATAATTCATAGTCATCACCATCACAATCACCAGCACCGTGGTGATCGTCATCATCAAGGCCTCGCAGGTGACGCTCGGGGATGCGTAACCATGATCGTTCTCATCAAAAGCATCATCGTGACTATCTTCATCATTATCGCTGGAGAGTCGTCATCAGGCCCCGATGGCACCAGGCTATGACTCTAGGATAAATCCCCGAATGTTAAAGAGGGCTCGTAAGTTCAATTGTTGCCTCTTGTCCCTTCTTTGTCTGGCATTGGAGAAATGACAACGAAAGAGACCAAAGAAAAGCGAAATTAAATAACAACAGATTGGAGAAGAGATTCTGAGCATAAATTCTACGAAAACAACAAGGCTATGAATCTAGGATGTCCTGTCTTTTACTTTGTTTCTTGCGCAGCGGCTAACAATCCGAAGTGAAAAGAGTTTTGGGAGTTTGAAAGAGAAAGAGAAAGACCTGTCATCAAGCGTATGTCTGTCGCATTGGTGGCTGTACCTGTCTAATTTAGGCCTTGCGTCTATCAGTAAATGACCCCGCTTCTTTACCCAATTTTGGGGCAGCATTTCCACGATTTTTTGGACAATTACTACCAATTTACACCAATTTCGGGAATGAATGGGCAGAGTCACCACCAATGTTTGGCAGAGTCGGGCAGAGTTGCGACCGAGTTTGGGCAGAGTCACTACGATGTTTGCCTGAGTCATTACTAATTGCCATGATGCCACTTGCGCGATGCGTCCGTTTTTTCATGGACCACTACCAACGTTTGTGACATTTGGCGCCCTTTGCAGTCATGAACCATTGAGAAGCATTGTTTCTCTGAGTTCTTGCGCTGCACATGTGTTACCGGAGCGCCCATCTGCCAGTCCTTCGAATAATGTTTGGCATACCTTGATTTTTTCATTGAGGGGGTGCCCGAGTTCTATCACTTGACTGTCGCGGCATCTACGTTTACTAGCGTTCGTGTTTCACAATCAGTTCGCACCCTTTCCTGGGCTGTAGCGCAGCATGTGCGCCTTGATTTCACTAGAGATAGCAGGCTCGGCAGTTCCAAAGGCTACCTTTCCCCAATGTGTTCCACAGCAGCGAGTTTGTTCCTCTTGCTTTCCAAAGTTGAAGCTGGGCAGATTTGAATCTCCTACCCCGAGCTTCGGGTCATTTAGCTGCAGGTGAAACTGGAAGGTTGACGGGGCCCCGTGTTCTCAGCGTTTTGCTGGTTCAGGGCAGCCATGGCATCATGCTGTCTGCGGAGCCCCTTGGTTTTATGCAAGACTTCTCCGATGACGCTCAAGCTGAAAGTGTGAGCGCTCTTCAAATTGAAGTTGCCAGTGACGGCAATGATGAAAGCGCCATTCAGCAGTCTGAGGAGAGGACTTGTGCAAAAAGAGCTCGCACAGGGGCTTTGCTTGTTGGGAAAGTGGGCAGCGGGCGCCATGGTTCACAGCTTGAGCGGGATTATCCTTGCACGCACATGCGCTGCCAAAAGCGCACTCGATCTCTGGAGAAAACCGTTCGCGCTGTTGCCGATGTGTTGCAGAACGCCTCGCTCAAGAAGGAACGGTTCCACCTTCACGGTTTCCACCAAGCAGGGGCGGCATGGGGGCGTGCAGGTCTCGCTGAAA